GTGCGGGCAAATGGATTGAGTATGTCGCGATATGTTAGCGTTAGAAGGTCTGGCCCCAGGTATTGATCATGATGGGAAGTCGAGCATGGACTTGAAAGTCTCCGCGAGTGGATTCAGAGTATGTATGGTGCATGGGATAGCGGTTATGCCATAAGGAAATGGTGTAGTATTGGATGAGCACCGTGGCACTTGTGGTAGTGTCAAGGCAGCCAAGTGGATCTCCTTGGTAAGGAAAAAGGAAGTGAATGTAGCTCCGAGAGGGAGTGTAAGTTCATGGAAGTGAAATCAGTAGTGCGAAGTTATGACTGAACTGTTTCAATTATGGTTATTGCGCAGTGTGTGCGGCGATGATGTGGAATCACATCCGGTTTGGATGTCTGCCGACGTCACGGAAGGAAATTCCGAGGGTGTAAAGTCAAGAGGCTCGTAAGGGATGCAGAGATGGAGTCTTGGATTCCTGGTCTATTTCGGTTAAGAAATTGTGTATGTAGTGGTAATTCATCCTGGGGGATGTTTGGAGGTATTGTCAGTGTATCGGGTTTTCCAACCCGAGGGTGCTAGAGCCCGTTCAGCATGGGGTATGAGATTGCGGAGGGGAACTCATGAGAGTTGCTATGAGATTGAGGGATGCATCATCCTGTCAGCATGGAGTGAGTAAAGTTGAATTCAGACCGGGAATTCTGGTGGTTCAGGGATTATTTCTAGCTCTCATGAGTCAAATGATTGTGGTGAATTGGAGCGAGCGAGGTATCAGGGAGTGGTACTTAGTGGTTAGGTGTGGTTATCAGAGGAAGAGACCCATGGTCGGTTTGAAGCGGGGGTCAGAACACCGCAAGAAAAGAGAAATTTGGGTTTGGGTTTCGATGGCTGTGTTTTGAGGAATCTGGTCTGGTTAGTGCCAGGAGGTGCATTGCGGAAGTAGTTCTGGAGTTGTGTTGCTGCAGGCTTCAAGGATGAAGACTAATTTAAGTGGGGGAGAATTGTAACATCCCGAGTCCAGGAGTTCAAGTTCGGGGTTCAAAGTGTAAATTTGAAGGGCAACCCGACGAGTCCATGGGTGGACTCGGCGAGTCCATGGGTGGACTCGGCGAGTAGGGTCGCGACTTAGGTCGCGTGTTAAGTGGCCAACTCGGCGAGTCCAAGGCTGGACTCGGCGAGTAGGCGCTGAGTGAAGAAAACCCTAATTTCGGGGGATGAGCCCTATATAAAGGACATTATACCCTCTCCCTAGCCTCCTTACCTTCCCTTGAAGTCCAGACAACCCTAGAAGCATGATTGTGAAGGAATTGAGTGCATTTGAGCCTTGGAGAAGAGATTTGGAGGAAGGTCTTGGAGAGTTAGGAGGCTTGGACCAAAGGGCTTTGCTTAGATTCAGATTTCCTTGCTGTTGGGGGCTTCCTTTTGAGGTATTATCTCGTTTTTGGGCTGCTATTCATCTAGATTCATCATTTTTGGGGTGTATGGGAATTTTAGCTTGCGGTATTTAGAGTTTGAAGGGTAGATCTGAGGTTTCTACCTCAGATCTGGAATGGAGAAGATCTAGAGTGCATTAAAGTCCCTGTTATTGAGTGTTTGGTGAAGCCATCTTGTCCCAAACCCTAGCCGTAGAGTGTAAAATGCCTAGATCTCTTTGGATTCACGTAAAGTTTGCCACTTTACGTGATGGAAAGGTTGTAGAAGGGTAGATCTACGTTTTGGATTGATTGCATTGCCTGGAAGGCTTCTGTATGGGTTAAGAACTAATGGTACTCGGTGAGTTGCTTGAAGGCGGGCAGGAACTCGACGAGTTTGAAGAACAACTCGGCGAGTTGGTTGAAGATAGCCTTGGACTCGGCGAGTCTGGTCTTGACGTCTTAGCCTTTCCTGGTTAAGCTAAGAATCGGTGAGTCAAGGGATGACTCAGTGAGTTGAAAGGGGTCCTTTTCAGTGTTGGGGGACTCGGCGAGTCAGCGGGCTGACTCAGCGAGTAGAGTTAGCCAGAAGGTTGACTTTGACTTTGACTTTGACCAAGAGTTGACCAGTTGACTTCTAAGGGCATTTTGGTAATTGTTGGATTTTGTTTTGAGTTCAGTGTTGATGCTAGCTAGTGGTGGAGATCGTGTTAGTGGTCGGAGCATTTCGGTCTTATCTTTCCAGTCAACAGTTGCGAGGTGACTTATCCTCACTATATCAACAGGGTCTAAGGCACCAAGGCCGGCCCTTTATCGGATTGTAATCTGGGTATTGTTGTTATGTTGATGTTTTACTATATTTTCATCCTGGTAGTTAGGATGGTATTCGTTAGAGACCTGGTTAAGGTCGGTATCCTGGTATATAGGGTGATGTTATGCTAGTGACCGGTTAGGTCGGTATCCTGCTTAGAGTATGTTGTGTTACGTGATCTGCTAGATCGGTTTGACTGAATATGAATTGTTATGTGATTGTATGTTTATGTGCACATGGTTGTTTGGACTGGAGTTGGGTTGAGGCGGGTCCTGCTTCGTGCGGTAGGCCAAGATACCTAGGGCGGACCGGTGGTTCCGAAGGCCCAGCGAGTGGTCCGGATAGGCTGTAGGCCCCACGAGGGCAGACCAGACGTGCCGAGGCTCAGAGAGTGGACCAAGCCGACTGAACGCCTGATGCGGGCGGACCAGTCATACTGTAGACTCAGAGAGTGGACCAGGTGGGTTGAAGGCCCGGTGCGGGAGGACCAACCATACTGCAGACTCTAGGGACATGACTAGACTCGGAGGGTGGACCAGGTGGAATGAAGGCCCGACACGGCGGACCAGTCACACAGAAGACCTGATATGCGTGGTTGTTCTGTGATTTGATATGATATAGCATGTTATGTGAGTGGTATATGTGGTTGGTATTTTGAGGGTATCTCACTAAGCTTGCGGGATTACAGTTGTGGTTTAATGTTTTTCAGGTTCTTCAGGAGACCGTGGCTAGGAAAAGGTGTGATCGTACCGCTCTTCGTGTTTGTGATTTATCATATGGTTATGGGAATATTCTGATAATAAATGTATTGAAAACCTTTTTGTAATAACATGATTAAAATGGGTTGTTTTTTAAAAGTTAAAATTTGTTGAAATTTTTTGTCGTTACAAGTTGGTATCAGAGCCTTGGTTTGAGTGAATTGGAGGAACATTCGTGTGAATCCAATCTCAAATCTGGGAGAGTTTTTAAAAGAGAATTTAAAACGATTTTCAAATTAAGTAAAAGGAGGACGCGGAGGTACGATCAGCCGGAGCCAGTAAGTAACTCCAAAATACCATATATGATATTTGTTTTTGAGTTTTGATAGAACACCATGCTAGTACTAGGCTAGGGATCTTCAGGATTTCATGATAATATTGCCTGTTTTATGATGTCTATAGCCTAGGGTTTCCTTTTGTATGAGATTTTCAGTGTTCCTCTAGGAGTGAGGATTGAGCGCTTGCTATGTATATTTGTCACTAGGGCGTTGTGGTAGTACTTCATACAAATATGGGTAGGTGTGGAAGGTAGTCAGGGCCCGTACTACTGAAAGCACAGGACCCATACGCGTATCAGGGAAACCATGACCTCTAGGGTTGAGTTGGGAGTTGGTTCCCGGGTTGGTGGGAAGTATCTAGGATATTGTGGTGTTTTTCAGTATGGTGGTCACGAGGCATGCTGGGCGCGGACCCGGGTCAGGATCGGGAGTAGGAGAGGGAGGTCAGGGCGTGTCAGTGCCGCCCGAGGTTATTGGTCAGATGAGCACGGGTGAGTTGGAATTCGAATTGGTCGACATTGACTTCATCCACTATAATAGTAATTTGAATTGGTCCTCTAATTATACTGCGCCAAATCTTGAAATCTTTCATTTTAATATATTTTTCGATTTGGTATTTCCATTCTAGAAAGCCTTCAGTATTCAAGAGTCGGGGAATCCGAGAAGTTGTTCCCATTATGGAGTCAAGTTCTTGATGTACTTTCATGCTTTGATATTCCATGTTTAAAAAAAATTGAACAACTTAGATGATTGAAACCACACACTACAACCGCACACACAATTACAAATTATAACCGCACACAACCGTACACTTAAACCGTACACGTAAATTCACTTCCAACCGCACACGCAGCAGCAAGCTCAACCGCACACACAACAACAGACTTAACCACACACACAACCGTATACGCAGCTTCACATTTAACCGCACACACAGCAACAAACGTATCTGCACACACATCAGCAAACGTAACCACACACACACAGCAGCAAACTTAACCTCACATGCACAACAGCAAACTTAACCGCACATACTCGACTGCACTCCTTCAAAGTTTCTCAACAGCACACCTTCAATGTTTCAACCACACACATTCAGTGAATCAATCGCACACACACAAATCTCAGATTTTTGATGGAATTTTGATTTCAAACTATTGAAAACAGTAACAAATAGCAGTTCCTTGTTCAAAAAGTACAAATGCACTTCAAAAACTTCAAAAACAGTAAAATTTTGCAGCGTCACACTCTAAAATACTTCAATTGATACCAAATTGGCTCTAATACCAATTGTTTTTAGAGCCAATTATTATTAACTATAGAAAAATAGGATCAACTTATTACTTGGTCGTCATCAAATGAAGGGTCCTTAAGAAGTTTTATCTAGAAAAATAGGATCAGCTTGTCTTGTCACTGAAAGCATGTCCAAAATTTGTCACAATTTTTCGTGCTTAAATGGACCACAATACTGGCGATCGACCAGATCTATTCATGAAAGGGGAGGTACTAATAAATTGAAAACGATTGTCTAACAACTTTGATCCCACATCGCAAAAAGTTAATCAAATTTTTATGTTAGAAGATTTAAGTTAGTTTAGAATTAAATTTTTATTATTATTATCCTTTTATTTTTAATTTTATATTTTATTTTTATTTTTATTTTTATTTTTTTTAGGAATGATAAAAATTATATTTGTTTTTATTTTAATCCTCAAAGTGATTTATTTTTGAAAAATGTTGGAGTATTGGGCTTAGGATTTAAATGATGAAGGGAAGCCCAAAATATGAAGAGGTATATAGGGGGGTGTGCGGTTCATTTCATTTACTGTTTATCTTCTTCAAATATCAACCGCACACGGCTCTAGCTTCTCTCTCTCTCTCTCTCTAAAAACCTCCCAAAATCTTCATTTTTCAGAAATTGAAGTGTCATATCGGTAATAATTGCAAAAACGACTCCCATAATACATCTTTAATGCAAAAACAATCAAAAACTGGTGTTTAATCGAGGATTTTGTTTTTCGATTGTGTGTGCGACCGCACACGGCGAGTGCGGCTGGACTGTGTGCAGCTACACAAACTGGTGTGCGGCTAGTGACGTGTGCGGCTGCACACACTTCTTATGTAATGAATCTCGTGTGTGGCTACATACATCCACGTGTGCAATTGCATACGTTCTCATGTGCGGTTGCACACTTCATTGTGTGTGAGCAATCATGAACAGTTTGAATAAGTATGGTTAAAATTATTTTTACCCTAATGTATGCATGTGTTTCTTTTCAGATTAGAATAGGAGATCTAGAATTCACAAAAGTTCACAACTCAGCTATCTTTCTTGAAAACTCTCCAGCAGCTCACGATGATCTAAAATTCATTGTTGAAGGTCTGAAGAAATGTTGTTTGGTTCATGCATTAACAACCAGCCCGCCAATTTATCAAAACTTGATCAAAGATTTCTGGAGAAGTGCAGTCGTGAAGAAAGATGGCAAAGATGAAAAGTACCTTGAAGCCACAATACAAGGAAAGAAGATTCAAGTTTCAGAAAGGATTATTCGAGAATCACTTCAAATTGATGACAGACCAAAATATTCAATGGAAATTGATGTGCATCAAACTCAAGATGTTCTAGACCACATGAGGTATGAGGGAACATTTCCTCCTACCATCAATAAACTGCTTCCTCCCTGCTGGAAATATTTAGCTCATGTATTTGTGAGCTGTATTTTTGGTAGGAGACCTAGTGCAAACGAAATCTCTCTGGTCAATACAAGAGCCATCACAGCTTCAGCTTCGGGAATTGAATTTAATTTTTCAAAGTTTATCCTGCACGAACTGGTTCTGAATATTGAAGGAAACAAGTGAGACAAATTTTTTATGTACCCAAGATTTCTTCATATTATTTTCAACGCCATGCATCCTGAGCTACAAAGAGGAAATGAGACATTAGATCTTAAATATGTTGGTCCAAGTGCATTTGGTTTAATGAAACAGAAAAGAGGAGGAAAGTTTGTTTTTGAAGGGAAATTTCCCTTAATAAAATTTGGAATTTTTTCTGAAGATACTGATCAGTTAGACTCGGAAGATCAATCTATTCCTACAGAGACTGAAGACATTGTGATTTCAACTTCTGAGCCGGAAATTAAAGAGGCTCATGTTTCTCTTATAGTTGTAGTGGCTGAGGATCATGATCAACTACATTATGTGGAAGTTGAAACACAAATTATCCATGAAGAAAATGATGAAGATCTTAATGATGATGTGGAGTTTTTGAAAGAGATAAATTTCACCGGGATCAGTGATGATATCCCTACAAACATTGAACTCGATATTGACGATGACGAGTTTGGTCCATTTCCGGGGTTTGACAACAACTGTTTTAGAAAGGTCAATGAAGTTGCTTCTTCAGCAACCAAGACTAAGGAAGACAGTAATGTTCTCAAGATTTTGCTCTCTGCTTCCAAGCCTTTGGAGATTTCTTCAGGTCAAAGAGATGTGAATTTAGAGATTCGTCCCTCTGTTTCAACTGTCTCTACTTCTGCTCCTCTTGTTGTTCAATCATCTCAGTCCCAAACCTCCCAGTCTTTTTTAGAAAGAAATCAATCAAATACAAGTCTGGAGGTGCCCATTGTCAGCCATGCACCTCAGGTCTTTTCCACTGTTACCACTACTACTGTTTTCACTCCACCAATACAATCAAATGAAGGCCCTAGCACAATGTTTGAGACAGGTGGTTCATCCTTTATCCCATAATATTCTCCTACAAGACCCTCACTGGATGAAGCCTCAATCAGATTGGCTAAGCACCTTACTCAACACAGTCCAATCTCTTCTTCTCGTGGCAAAGGTATATCTTTCAAGGAAGAGCATTCAGGTGAAGACAAGTCTACTGTGTCAGAACTTCGAGAACAAATTAGTGTTCTCGGGCAGGAACTTATTGAAAAGAACATTCAGCTGAAACAACTCGTTTCTCACGTAGAAGAGCTTAAAGAAAGGGATGAAGAGAAAACAAAACAGATTAAGGATCTGCAGACGAATCGTGGCTCTATGACTGCTTTCTACTTCAATTTGAAGAACGTTCTGTATGATGCTTTCGCGGATAAAGTTAAAGCGTTATTTCAGCAACCACACGGAATTGAGGATCCTCCCATGGCCCCCACACAATCTACTTCAGGCGATCTTCTAGTTGATCCACCTCCTCCTAGAACAACTACAATTGTCGATAGATTTGTAAAGGAACCTGAAGGCAGCAGAGCCCGCATCACAATCAAACAGGGAAAGAGGAATGTTATGGCTAACAAAAGCGAAGGGTTACTCTTCTTGAAAAATTCAAACGAGAATCGCAGAGACAAAAACCCTGTCCTAACCGTGACTGATCTCAAAAAGAGAAAATTTGGTGACGAGTTCGGTGACAGATCTAGAATCAAAATGTGGGCATTTGATCCCGAGTTAAACATGTGGGTTGTGAAAAGGAACTTAGGAATTTCTGAGTACTACAAGAGCACACATGATTTTAACTCATGGACCAAAGTGGATCTTGCTGAACTTTCGAGAGCCCCATTCTATAATCCCTCTGAAGATCCCGGCGCGACAAACTTCAAAAGATTTCTTGATAGACAGGTTAGAGAAAACTTTCCAAAAATGAAGACTGCAAGAGCTTTATATAGAAAAGATCAAGATATTCTAGATCCTGAATCAGGCAAACCTATGAGGATTATTCTTTGGCCAACGACTAAACAACAGAAGGAAATTCCTATTCCTCACCACTTCCGTGAGGGATACCTTAATAATATGGAATTATGGGCTTACGACGATGAAACTGCCACTGCTGTAATAAAATTCAAGGATAGAGAACATGTCTTGAGGCTGATAAGTGCTAAAGATCTTCTAAGGTTCAGGGAAAGGGATATCCACACTCTGTCTCATCACTAGACTATATGTAGAAAGGATGTCATGGAGGCGGCTGCAAAAGAGTTCACTGGAATGGTTGCCACCATCATAAATGGAAGACTGTTGATGGGCTCCATGGGAAAGTCCGGTTTGAAGCTGTTTGAAAAGCCAACAGATTGAAGATCATGTGTATGCTAGCCTCAAACCAAGGGGGAGATTGAAAGACTATATTATTGTGGTTTGGGCTAGGCATTCTTCCTGTATAAATCTTAGTAGGTTGGTAGTGCATGTAGTATAGTGGTGCTTTGGTTTAGACTATGTGTGTGTGCAGCCACACACGTGTGTGCGGTTACACATGTGTGTGCTGCCGCACACGCTGTGTGCGGCCGCACATGTGTGTACGGCTGCACTCATGTGTGTTGGTGTGGGTAGTATTTAAAGGGGTTGTCAATGTGTCAGATGTACTAATGAACATCGACATATGTGTGTGTATTTTCAAGGTGTACCTGACATTTATGAGTTATAAATGTGTGCATGCTTGATGTTATTTCTCTTCTACTCCTTCTACACTCTATTTTGATTGTTATTACTTCACTGATTACTGATTTAGATCTCTAGTTTGGGGACTAACATGTATTGCGGAGTCCCTAAAACAGTACTGTCAACAACGATGATTATGATGATCCTTAGGATAGGTATTTAGGAATGGATATATAAGAAAAGGGGGGGTGAGTAATCAGGTGAATTGTTTGATAATTAAACATATATATTTACTATATTATTTGGGTTGAAAACTCTATGCACTCACTAGGTTTTCCAACTTGATCCATTCAGTTTCTTTGTATCGCAGGAAGTAGTACAAAGATAATGATGTTTGGATCCGATAAAAGATTCGAAAAAAATATATGTTATGTTATAAAAGATGTTGTAATGCATGTAATGATTACGTTTATGCTTATATTTTTCGTATCAGTAATGACATCCCAAGTTTTTTTTTTTATAAAAAATAAAAACATTTATTCGAAAATACTTTTTATGGTACAAATTTTGCAATATAAAAAATACTGTTTTAAAATAAACATAAATAAAAAGGTATTTCTAACCGTAAAAATTGGGATGTCATAGTATGTAATCAAATATTATAGATAAGTTATTGATAGCGTATGTTACGAAATTTTTTTTATGAGACCGCACCATCAATATTATCAAGAATGTCGAAAGTTGTCTTAATTTAGGTGCAACGCATTTGTGACGGTAGTATCGCCAATAATAATATTTTGAATTTCTTTGTCAAGTTGAATGCCTTTAGCATCTTTATTGTCATGGAAAAACGTTTTATTAGAGATGGAAATAGGGTTGGAGAAGATAATTATATTTTCTCGTTAATGTGGATATATACTAAAATCACATACAAAATCATGTTTTGACCCAATATATGGGCCGAATACAAAGCAGAAATAATACAAATATGTGAACACTAACAAAAAACACACATCACTTATCAATCTTTTGAATCTTTCCACCCAAAACATAATTTAACCTCCTACCCTTTTCATATAACCATTACCACTCCTCAAAAATGATACCCAAACAACATAAACAACAACAAATATACAAATATTCAACATCCTATATCATTATAATTATACCACCATTTTCCCAATTACAAGAGTCAATGTCTACATAATAAATAATTTCCTACAATGCTTCCGAGGCCCATCTTGTAGATTAGCTACCTCAAAGTTCACAATCTCACTAATCAAATCTTTAAAAATAAGACGTTCTATATCTAAAGCCAAATTTGGAATCTCATTACAATTATCATCCCAATCTTCTGACTTTTTATTCACATCCATAGCTATGATATTTAATACTTCATCATATTGCTCACTCCCTTTGTTACTTTGGAGATTATTTATTTCTGACCACAATTCCATCAATATCTTCTCTCCATTTGGAATCCTTCCTTTCTTTTTCCTTAATATTTGCACAAGAACGTCATTAACACTATCAAACATCATCTTTCTCCTCATTTTCTCGGATTTTGATGATTTGGACTCATGGGTATTTTTGGTTTTTTCCAAAATGTTGAACAACTCAGGGTTGATCAAGTTGCCTGTTGGATGAAGTTGAACGATTGTTGTAGCACAATCAAGATTTTTGAAAAAACCAGAGGCTAATAAAATCTCTTTAATGTATTTTTTATCTCCATTTTCATGTGGATTCATGGTGACTTCATCACTTGTGGAATTTAATAGTTCAATTTGACGAACAAGATGATTTATGTTTTGCATTTTTACCCTTGAAGGGGACTGATTTAGTTCGACCAAGTTATCTATTCCCACTTGACTCCATTCTTGTTCATCAAAGTGCAAATCCTCATCATCTAAGAAGAACAAATGTTTATCAGTAAGAAATAACAACACACTTTCATTTATTTGTTTATTATATATAGCATCTTACTTTTATTTTATTTTCATTACACTTTTTTTCTTCTTACTAAAGAAATATACTATGTAAAAACTACTCAATTCTAGCATTGAACGATAATAATTTTTCTTATTAGAACAATATATATATTGTACTTTTTTTTCTTGTTAGGATATTACACTTTGAAAAATCTAGCTAATTATAACAGTTAAAATTGCTTTGTATATATATGACGTTTCTATGATTCGATAGATTTTTGAAAGTACAATGTTGTAATGCGAAAAAAAAATAAAGTAAATGCTACAACAAACAATAAATGTACCTTTATATGTATACGATTTCTTTTTCATTGGAGACATTGTTTCTTCTGTGTAAAACGCATCAAGAACCGAAACAGGACTCGGTTGTTCAGCCATTGTCTTATACTCGATTAATCTTTCCGCAAATTTATTCTAAAAAACAAAAAATATAAAACATATTAGCAAATTAAAAAAATAAACTCAATAACATCATTTATGTAAACTTCAATATATCTTCATTTTATTTAACAAATTTTAAATGCACTAAACTAACCTTGTTCCCTTGACTTGAATCGTTGCTTGTAACCTCTGACTCATTCTGTGAAGCTACACTTGTATCACTCTCCGAAGGGAATGAAACGGTGTCACTTTGTTGACTTAAACTTCTTACATGACTGCTAAAATTACTCAATTGCCCTTTCGATTGCTTTCTATTCCCACGAACCGGTTGCTTTTCGACTCCATTCTTTGATCTTTGCAATCTCGGGCTTACATTTCCCGAGTTTCTTGAAGGTGACACCGGTTTTTTAGCTTTTGTTTCAATAGGAGTTAAGTTTTTTACACATCGTTTATTATCTATAAGGTTGACTTTCTTGACGTTTGGAAGACTTGTAATCACCATTGAATCTTGTGGAACTATTTTCTGGATCTTCGTTTTCTCCAACTTCATATTTGTCCTCTCTATCGCTTCAAGAATCTGCTTTAGAGCTCTCAGATCTTTTCCCGAACTTTTAAACTCAACTTCATTCATTCTTTTTTGGATTTGACCATAAACCGAATGGCAGCCATGGTCAACTCTAGAAGCTTTCTTATGAGTCGCTTGTTTCTGGGTTCCCCATGGAGCTGGTTCTAGTGGAATTCGAGGTGATGTCATTGCCATTTTGTTGCTTGATAATCTTGAATGAGAAACCGATGTTTTAGTGTCATCTAAACATGGTTTTGTCTTTAAACTCTCACCTCCATTGATGACGTCATTCAAAGCTTCTAAACCCATCAACCTTGCGACAACACTTGAAGGTGGTCGCTTGTTTGTTACTAATACTTCGTGGGTATTCTTGTAATTCTTGATAGAACTTTGTTTGCTATCTAAAGATAACCTCGGAATCTCTTTAATATTAGCGACGGATTTTAGCTTGTAAATTGATTCTCTTCCATCACATGAAAACCTTGAAATCTCCTTAACACCCTTTGAAATTTCTTTAAGCTTATCAAGATTTTGATCTTTTCTTTCATATAAAACAGGTCTTGGGGAATCAATATGTGTCATTATGGGACCTTTTCGTTCATCTTTCGCGACAGTTTTTACCGACACTACTCGAGGCTTTCGAGTCATTGAATCCTTGACTACGTTCTTGATATCATCTTTAGTGACAGTTGGAGGCAAGGGTTCAGACATGATGCTTGGACAAAATGAAGAGGGTTCTGTTTGAAGTCTTTTACTACAATCTAATGATGAAGTAGAAGAAGAAACCGAGTTTCTTGATGATTCAGTAGATACTCTGTGTTTCTCATTTGACATTTTCTCCTGTAAAAGTTATCAAAATTTAGTTTTAGATTTGAAATATTTTACTTTTTTTTTTTTTATAAACTATGAATCTATGAATCAAAATCTTGGTCTTACCTTTGGTTTCTCTGATTCATTGTTGATCTCGTTTTTGCCACCTAAACAACAATTTATAAAGATTTTAGACACCAAAATCTTAATGTCGATTATGTGATTATATATGAAAACGTTACAAAAAATAAATAAATAAATAAATAAAAACCTTGATATTTTGAGCAGTTGTGTTGTTTAAACACTAATATATTTTTTTTGATTTCTCTAATCAAACTACAAAGTTTACCTTATTTTTTTAATAAATTAACCGTTTTGATATGTTATAAGAGCATTTCACCGATAATTTTATTATATGAGGTTTTACTGGTATTTTTTCAAAATTAAGCGTTATGAACATGTTATCTCATGTCAAAATAGTTAATTAAAATCAGGAACTTTTTATGGCTCTATTTGAAAAAAATTAAAACAAATAATTAAACTACAAAACTGAAAACTGTCCATGATATAATGGATTTCAATAATTTAGCCAAATTGTGGAAGGATATTTTTGTTCTTGTATCAAAATAGCAATTAGTATATCAACAAATATATCATTCCACAATTTAGCTAAAATACATAAAAACCATTATATCATGAATAGTAGATGTCACGAACTTTTTATCGTTATATTTATAAAAAATCAAAACAAATGGTTAAACTAGAAAACCGTCAACGATATAATGATTTTTCTGTAATGTATCCAAATTATGGAACGATATTTGTTCATATTATCTATACAAACTACAATCTTGATAAAAGACAATAAAAACACACACATATTTTGGTGTAATATGTTTACCTTGAGGTAGCTTCTTTTGGCCAAGTAGATAACGTCGATCAAAAAGCTGAAAAATCCCATTCATGCATCCTATTTGCTTCGTTAACTCTTGTTTATCTTCTCTTAACGTATACATACCTTTCCTAGACATTTTCACCACCTCTTTTGGAAATACAAAACACCTCAACAAAAATGTCTTCTTTTCTTTGATTAAATACACCGATATTTACAACCTGCCGTTTACCATTTTCTCCTGTTTTTCTGAATGATGTACAGAGGATTTGCAGAACGAACTTATTTTTTATATATTTAATCTCTCTCTCTCTCTCTCTCTCTCTCTCTCTCTCTCTCTCTCTCTCTCTCTCTCTCTCTCTCTCTCTCTCTCTTCGAAATGGAAGGATTGAATGCTACTGTTTTTGGGCTCAAAAGATGTAGAATTCGGATTCGAAGCAATAATGCGATGTGGGATTTTGGATTGGTGGCATATTTTAGGACTCAAGAATCAAGGATTGGCATTATATATATACATCATAACTATGAGAGGTGGGTAGGGTAGGCTAGGGTGGGGTGGGGTGGGGTGGGGGTTGAGGGTCATATGTGCACTGGCCTTCCACTTCCATGTGGACAAAATAATGTAGGTGGGGTCTAGAGTCTGGTTTCTTCATGTGAAGATTGTCAGGTGATCAAGTTATATACAAAAGTTCATGTATTTACCTATTAATAATGTTAAAACGAAAATATGTATCTCTCATAGATCCTAAATAAATTCACGATTTTAAGGAGATCTTGTTGGTTTTCTTCTTAATTTTACCAAACTACCCTTGTAAGTTGTTACTTTTTTTTAGAGTTTTTGATCATGATGGAAAAAATATTTACCATTTTAGTGTTCTTTCAAAACTATTTACCATTTTAGTGTTTTTCTTCTTTTTCTTTATTTTTTAGTTTTCTTTTCAGTTTTTTTTTTAATTTAAATATCTGATTTTTTTGTTTTTCTTTTTTATTCCACTTTTTATTGTTTTTTTCATTTTTCTTTACTTTTTAGTTTCTTTTCAGTTTTTTTTTTTAAATTTAAATATCTTATTTCTTTTTCTTTTTTATTCTACCTTTATATATATATATATATATATATATATATATATATATATATATATATATATATATATATATATATATATATATATATATATATATATATATATATATATATAAATGACAACTTTCATTTTAGTTTTTTTATCATTTTTTACTGTTTTTTAAATATATGTTTTTTTATTTAATTTTTTCTGTTTTATTTAAATATCCGATTTTCTTATACAACCTTTTTACCATCAAATTTTAGCCTCAACATTAAAAAATCATCAAAAACCACCACTATAATCAAATTTTAAGGTGCAAAAATTCCAACATTCACATACAATGTTTTTAAAGTGAAAAAAAAATCTCAACATTGTTTCTTACAAAAAACATTGTAGGTGAATGTCACCACAAAAAAAATCCAACATTGTTTATTACAAAAAGAAAAACATCACAATTAGCTTCATATTGAACCGGTAAAAAATCATTACCTGTAAAAAATATATATATTATTTTTTAAATTACCTTGGCATAGACGGACATCTATTAAGTGGATGACTCTCCAACCATTCTCGAGCACGCGGATTTAACGGGACATAATCGAAAACGATGTCCGTCTATACCAAGGTAATTTAAAAAAATAATATTTTTATGGTATTTGTTATAGTTATTCTCTTGTTATTATTATTTTTTTTACAAGTAATAATTTTTTACCGGTTCAAGATGAAGCTAATTGTGATGTTTTTCTTTTTGTAATAAACAATATTGGGTTTTTTTTGTGATGTTTTTTTGTAAGAAACAATGTTGAGATTTTTTTCACTTTAAAAACATTGTATGTGAATGTTGGAATTTTTGCACCTTAAAATTTGATTATAGTGGTGGTTTTTGATGATTTTTTAATGTTGAAGCTAAAATTTGATGATAAAAAGGTTGTATAAGAAAATCAGATATTTAAATAATACAGAAAAAAACAAATAAAAAAACATATATTTAAAAAAACAGTAAAAAAAAACTAAAATGAAAGTTGTCATATATATATATATATATATATATATATATATATATATATATATATATATATATATATATATATAATAAAAATGTGGAATAAAAAAGAAAAAAAAAGATATTTAAATTAAAAAAAAACTGAAAAGAAACTAAAAAGTAAAGAAAATTAGAAAAACAATAAAAAGGAGGAATAAAAAAGGAAAAAAGAAAAATAAGATATTTAAATTAAAAAAAATCTGAAAAGAAAACTAAAAAGTAAAAGAAAAAAAAGAAAAACACTAAAATGGTAAATAATTTTGAAAGAACACTAAAATAGTAAATATTTTTTCTACCCATCCTATTATAATCAAAAACTCCTTTTTTTTTACTTGAAGTTGAAAAGTTCCAAGAATATTATGATTGTTGTTTACTTCATTCAATAAAAAAAGGTTTATTAAATTAGTAATGTAGTATTTTTACTTACTTTTTTACTCGAAGTTGAAAAGTTCCAAGAATATTGTGATTGTTGTTTACTTCATTCAATAAAAAAAGGTTTATTAAATTAGTAATTTAGTATTTTTACTTACTTTTTTACTCGAAGTTGAAAAGTTCCAAGAATATTGTGATTGTTGTTTACTTCATTCTATGAAAAAGGTTTATTAAACTGGTAATTTAGTATTTTTACTATAAGTGAAAATATTCTAATAGTACAACTATGATAATATCTATCTATTATTATTTATTACTGATTGAATGTACACTCTATGTTTTATCTTTAGACTACATTCTATTGTGAAAAGAAGTACAAGTTTCAATGCACAAGGTACAAATCATTAATGGTTGGCTCCCCACACCTCTTGCTTATTCTTTACATATAACTTTTTCTTTTATTGCCATGTTCTTAGGCTCTCAACTTGTCATTACCCCCTATTATTTATATTTTTTTATTTTATTTTATTTTGTTTAACTATTTTGGATAAACTTTGATTAATAGTTATCTATATGTATTTAAGACGACCATATACACAGTGCATGTCTGAAACATTATTTACATTCCCTGTATCTAATGCTAGCAGTATTCGCATTAAAGTCATGTTTTAAGACATGTATTTTACATCCCCAATCATGAGACCTTACTTTGAACGCCTAGTTTCATTTGGTTAAATATAAAAATTTACAATCTACTTTTATTTATTTGGTTATTATATAATATTTTTATTTTTTCTATTATAGCAATATGGTTTTAATTTTTTTTTTTTTTTTTTGTATGTAATGGTAATTAAATTGGATAATTTTTACCAAATTATAGCAATACTTAACCATTTTAATGGTTTTAAGTTTCACCGATGTCCCTAGTACTTTTGACTTTGCTGACATAGATGTGAAATCAAGATTTTGTGGCTTATTTTTGCTATGTCATTGGTGCTATAGAATAAATAAACAAACAAATAAAAGTTTCTTATTATTTTTTATTTAACCATTCTTATAGTTTATTATAGAATATTACTTTTGTTATTTTGTTTGTTATCCCGTTATTTCTTTCTATTACAATATTTTAGTTTCAGCTTTTTTTCGATATTATGTTTTTAAAAATATATATAATTATATAATTAGGTGATGACTTTAAGGTGTAACTCCATTGTTTACTTCAAAAACGCGGATGTACGATTTTATTCAAATTATTCCAAGTTTTTTTTTTTTTTTGAAATATAATGTTGTAATAAGAAAAAATGGAAACAAAACACTTTAGACATAAATAAATAAAAAATATGTCATGATAAATACATTATTATACCTTATCTTTAACCCTAAACTTTTTAAAAAAACCTTGAATTTCATGTTACAATGACTCATATTTCATTTTATTCATTGTAATTTATCTAGCATTATATAAAATATGACCTCCAAACTTTGTATGGGGTTGGGGTACAGGGTGATAGTTGAATTTGATGGTAGGGCCATGGGTGCATGATCACGTGATTTAAGGGGATAAGTCACATGAGGGCTGCCTACCTTAGTTTCATTTAGCATGCCAATTATTAGTATCCATCACTTTCAATCATTCATCATTGCGAATTCGTATACTATGTTCCAAGAAGGTAGAACCCCTTTGTATACCACTATAGGGCACATGAGGACCTCTTTTCTCTATAAGCTTATCCCCCACTAAATCACCATGTGCATCAACACATTAGATATATTCTTATCTAATATTATATTTAAGAGATAGATCATGCCTATATAATTTAATATTATATGTGTTTTAAAGTTTATAATTGATGTTTGAAATTGGTATTTATCATAGAAATTGGTATATATATAATCTATGAGTTAGTAGGTCTAGCCCATCAATTTATTGTACTTATGTTGCTTGATTAATGCAAAACATGTGAGGGATTATAGTTTTATCTTGTGATAATTTTTTTTAAGATGGAAAAAGATATTGAATTTGATGGTTTTCTTGGATTTACTTCAATTAAAAGGGATAGCAACTTATATCTAATTGAGAGGTAATTGTCTCCACATTATTTTAGTGTTATAAATAGGTGTTTAAAGATGGTTTGAACATATATAAAATGGTTTACAAACCATGTTACAAGTATTAATTAAATAAATGTGGTTTGTAGGTCAAGATTCCTTCACATACCCTTTTCATCACATGATTTAGCATAAAAGCTGTCTAGATCTAAACTTGGTAAGAAAGGCACCGATTATTTTTTTATTATATGGTTAATTGCCTTTTTTTAAGATTCATGAACATGGTAAGAAATAACCCTTCACCCAAGAAACATCCCTATTGGGTCTTTCATGATTTCCATTAATTCTTTTATCTTTTAAGACTTTGTGCATATCTTCCTTGGAAATTTCATTTCGAAAAGTCAATCCCAATGTGTCGATTATCAAATTTCAAAATTGCCAGTTGATGTAGTTATCAAAAGTCACCTAAATTGCACATGCCTTGTTTGCTCAGATCCCAATTCACACTGAAATTAATAGGGAAAGATTAGGCTTTCCATTATGGATTGTTGAGTTTCTTTTGTGATCTTTTGGGCGTCAAATGAGTTATAATTTGGAAGTTATGTCTCTTTGTTGCAGCAAAATACCGGTCTTGATTATTAAGGTTATATTGAAGGAGTGAGGAGTCTATGATAATAAATAATAATAATAATAATAATAATAATAATAATAATAATAATAAGTTTTTTATGATTGGTCTATATGGTTTGCAAAGAGTTTTCTTTTTTAGGAAATGACAAATCATTCCTAATTAATAAATAACTTTTTATCATATGTCACACTTTTATTGATTTAATCAC